TTTGCCCCCGAGAATATGTCATTTGCCTTCGGTTTTCGGAACAAAATGTGACTTTCACCAATCTTGACTTAAGATGAATGCAAATAATGTTTGAAAAATCTTGGTTGAAAAAGCATAATGGGAACCTGATTTTAGAAATCTAAGCCCCACTTAAGGGAAGTGTGTGCAATATGAGAAAAATGATTTCTTGTGTGTTTAATGACACATTGTTTACAAATTTGTTTTTTAGAAGCCAAGCCATGAGAATATCCATAAGCCCTTACTTCGCTCTCAGTCTCACGCTCAATTTCACTCTCACTCATTCCTATGGGTGCTTTGAGTTTATGATACTTTGGCTACTATCAAGAATCTTGTCACCAAGTTGATGAAAAAAGATGTGCTCAAGGTACAGGTTTGTTGATCATGGAGAATTCATGTAATCTCTATATGGTCTTGTCATAGGATTTCTTGAACTTTCCATAAATGAAGCTATTTTATGATATGGGTTCCAATCGTAGGAGTTCTCGTGTTTTGGGAAGTTTACTTTCCCAAGATGAGAGGCGGGTAAAGGAAATTTATATGAAATTTGACTCTAGTCATGTGAAACTTTGTGTTGGGGGATATTTGGCTTGCCTCGAGGGTATGAGACGAGTTGATGGATAGATGACATCTTTGTCGAGGAAGTTTTATTTTTCTCGAGAATGGTAGTTCATCTTGGGTACATTTTGAATCACGTTGCCTACCCGTCTTGAAATTTTGGTTTTGAGGTGTAAGCTTGAGTGGCGAAGTAACTGAGTTCATTTGAGTATAAACTCCATTTTGGAATTCCTCTCGCTTATAGAGGTCTTAGTTTGATCTTGAAAGGATGGATAAAGGAGGTCTTGGTAAAATGCAGGCTTTGACTTTTGTGTGGCAGGCATGGCTGCTGAAGTCTTCATCATGGGGTTTTTGCTCCACTTGAAAATGTTGGATAATAGGGATCATCGTGCGATATACTTTTGCGTATATCGATATTCTCATCTTGGTAATCCTTCTCATTGGGTTCTCTTGGGTTATTTCTTCATACTAGGTAGGCAGGTATATTTTGGTTTAGAAAGTCGGCTCAATTGGTGGCTAGCCCACTTGGTGTATAGATTCTGCTGGTTGAGAAAATGGTCATACATTGTGCTCTTGTGACTACATTGAAGCTAAAGCTAAAATGATTTTTTTAGACCTATGATATATGGACCATACTCAGTGGGTATCTAAATAGTAAGTCCCACAGCAGTTTTCTTTTTTCTTTTCTTTTCTTTTCTTTTCTTATTTTGATTTTCTTTTTCTTGCCTTATTGGCTTTTTTGCTCTTTTTTATGTGGGACCTACTTAAACTTTTCATGCCCCCATACATGTGGTCATTTTCGACCTTTCTGATTTTGGTGCACAAGCATCGAATGTTATGACATTTGTGATCATGTTGATCTTTGTGAGCAGCCCTTTTTGTTGGCTAGACGAATTGTTCGTTCCCTTCTCAAAAAAGAAAAATCACTGATGTCGAGTCTTTATTGTGTTGTTTGAGTAGTTTTTTCGCTCAAGCATTGGACTTTGAAGCATGGAACATTTTGTGCTTATTCCTCAACCGATTATGTGGGTTCTATGCGTGACCTAACCTTCTAGCCATGAGGGTTTTATGAGAACTTGGCTATTACGATGTAGACATCTTTCTTGTTATGGATAATAGTTCGACTACTCGAGCTTGTATCTAGTTGTGTCTTACTTTGGTAGATATTGGTTATGGTAGTGACAAGCTTCTACAAGTAGCCTGGTATCGTATCTTCGTTACACCCTTTGACTATTTAGCTCGCATGATTTATGGACACCAGTGGGGTGTTTATACTCTCAAGTTTAGTAAACTGAGCAGACGCTCAACATTAGCAAAGTGCTCAAATTCATTACACCAATAGGGTGTTTATAATCACTCTACACTAGTGGGGTGTTCAAACTCTCAATATCAGTAGGGTGTGCACAGTTTGATTATTAGTGCGGCGCAAAATTTTGACACTCAAGAAGTGTTTATAATCACTCGACACCAGTGGGGTGCTTATGGTTGCTTAATATGAATATCTCATGGCTTAACTTGGAAATATGAAATGCATTTTTATGGTTCCCATTTTTAGAGAAAACAAGGTGATCTTAAAGTTTTTTCCGAAAAGATGCTCATCATTTTGAAAAGACAAGGAACATTAATGCAAACATCTAAATAAAGATTGATAGTAGTCACACGATGTTTTGAATAGGTGGAAATGCAAACGACATTTATTCTTCAACAAAGGTTGATGCGTTGCTTCAACATGGTAGATTATATCTACATTTGTTTGATAAAGACCAAGTCTTGAGTCAAACTTTATCTCTTGGCATGTTCACTGATCTTCATGAGTTGGGAGTGGGGTTTCATTGATTCTTTGACGCTTGGCTTCCCCTTCGAACTTCAACCGTCCGACTTTCACCATTTCTTGTACCCTTATCTTCAATGCATTGCAATTTTCCACTGAGTGTCCCGTTACTCCGGAATGATAATCACATTGTCTATCAACTCTGTACCATCTTGGATATGGAGGTTGCATAGTCTCGCCCGACACAGGAGTGATTAGTCGATCTTGGAGTAATTGAGGGAAAAGTTTGGCATATGTGAGTGGGATAGGATCAAATTTCTTTTTTTTTTTTGTTTTACCAAGATAATGTGATATCGATTACCCCTTTGTCGTGGAAACGGCGTATGATTTGGGAACGTCGGTTGGTTGGAAAAGTTCGCCGGATGACACATTGCCAATTTGAACTTCAATGTTCTCCTTGTTTGTCAAAATCTTCAAGATCATGCTAACTTCCTCTTTCACGTCCCCAAGTGCTATCACTCGTCTTTTGATGTCGTCTAATTCCTTCTGGATTAACTCCATAGTGAGCTCGGCCTTGGATCCGGTCGAGTACTTAAGGGTTTGATGTTATCTTCGTGGATGAGCAACCTTAGAGAATCCCAATTTTGTTAATTGGTTTCATGGTTCTAAATGAGATGAATGCATGATGGTTATGCTCAATGATATGATTGTAAATACTAAGTATTTTTTCGGTGGATGCATATGTACTTTGTAACATGATTAATATGAATGAATGAAGAAATGACGGTGTAAGCTTCTCGGGACCTTTTCTAATCGAGGATACAACTAGGGAAATTAGAAATGCCAAAATAGGAATAATACTTGATATTATTAGAAATGCCCAGAAAATATCATATTCGTAAAGCAGAAACATGGGTGCACTCCTATGAATGCGTAAAACATGCTTGTTAGATTAGTCGAGTCAAATTAGAATTAATTGTCAACTCATCTATAACTGTTTAGGCAAAACCAAAATGAAAATGAGTTTAAAATTCTTTCACACATACAAATAAATTACTGTCTTTCACGAATGATTTGCAAAACACATATTCCACGTATAAGCAAGAAAAGAACTGATCATAAGATAAATTCTTTCACAAACTTTACCTTATTGAGGTAAACCTAAGATATTTTGCAGCATAACATTGTGTTTTTGGGTAGGCTCTGGGATAAGTTGCGGTTTAGGTAGTTTCTAGGTAAACTATATGCTGGATAGGGATCTTAAGGAATCAGGCTCCCAAGTTGTACCGCACTATAACCCTTTCGAGTTTTAGCATGATACCCCAAATCATCCTCGGATTTGAGTTCAACTTGGTTGGGAAGTTTTCGCATTTCCCCTACTATTGTAGGAGTCACACTACTTTCTTCCTTTTTTTGCTAAAAGGACAGCTCGGGAATAGAGCTTTATGCATGGATGCAAAAAATTGAAATACATTACAAATTTAAAGCGCAAATTGATGTAATAAACCCATAACACCCATTTTAAGAAAGTAAGAAAAACTTATCGATGATTAATGTAGTTTGACTCTCATATATGTCCCCAGCGGAGTCGCCACTGTCGCAACCGCCCCTCGAGATCGGGGGACCGTCGCGACACGCTCGGAGTCGCCATCGACCTTAGCTGTGGTGGATCGAACACCTTTTGTACCGGTTCCAACCTTAGGGTCAGAACCGGGATTTTGGTCTGCGAATTTTAGAAATTCGGGTTCGGGAGTACGGTTACGTGTGGGGAAGTGTATTCACGCCCCCACAACGCCCCAAATGGGTACTAAAATCGATAAGTTTTTAAAGGGGTGGGTGTATAATAATTTGCGACTTTATTGATGTATTTAATTGAATTATTTTAATAATTTTGGGTGTATTTTTAGAGTTCAATTGGACGTAAATTTTGAATTGTTGTATTTACTTGATAATTTTCACGCCTATTGACGTAAAAATATTTTTTAGATTGGTTGGACTCGAACCTATTGGTTGCCTACGTACCCGAGTATCCGGGATCAAAGTCCACGTAGTTCGGTTTTGTTGAAGTTTTAAAATGTTGTGCTCTTAAACACGTTCTATAGATCGCGATTAAGATGATTTGAGTTATTAGGAAATGGTTTTATGACTTTTCAATTTAGTAATTGAATGTTAGATTGCCTTTGGAAGAATTTCAACGAAAATGACTATCACGGTCTATTGACCATGATTTCGTATTTATGAAATCTCTAAATAAAATAAATATGTGTATACAAAATGAAGCCCAAATTTAAATCAAGGTTCTAATATTTTGAAATACACAGGAGTAATCGTAACTTGGCCAAAGCAAAAAGTCTTAACATGTTTGGTCGATATAAATTTTGCGTATTAAGTGACTTCGAAAATAAGATGTAACGAAAGGAGTAAGGTAGCCAAAATTACAGAGTAGCTCGAATGGTTAGGCGCCGCATTGCTTGTTCGTTGTTACTTGTGAGCCCAGAGGTCAGGAGTTCGACTCACATGAGAGGTTTTTTTTGTTTTTCCAGAGCGAAGTGGCAAGGACAGGTAATATTAAAAAAAACCCTAGGGGTAGATACGACATTGTAACAAAACGTGTATATAAACTATTTTTTTTAACCCTCGCCGCTCTCCTTTTCTTCTCTCGTCTCACATCTCTTCATCTCTTCTCCAGAAACAATGAACCAACAAACGAAAAGAAGAAAGGAAGAAAAAAAAATCCCTAGCTCCTCTCCTCCTACTCGATTCTTCTTCTGCCTCTCACCCTCTATTTATCGTCCATCTCGTCGCCGGCGAGTAACTCGGAGGAAGGAAGAAACCCCTTCTCTCGTCTCTCTCCAGAGGTAACGAAACACGACCTCCCTCAAGACGGCGAAAGAACGATGGCGGCAGCTGATGATAACGACGACGGCAAAGGCGGCAGCGAAGGCTTTGTTTGCATGTTGGATTTTGTTATTTGAATTTGCTGTTTTATAATTCTGATATGTTCTTTTTGTGTGTTCTAGTTACAGAGGATGGGGGAAGAAAGGGGGCCGCCACCGGCAGCCTTGGGTTCCACCGGCGGCGAAGACGACGATGATATAAGGGAAACCCTTTTCGGGTATAATAATCTGATCTAATTGCTTTTTTATTTAGATTTGGATTGATTTTGGTATTTAGAAGGGATTCATGATGATAGTGTTTTTATTATCTACGTGCTCAAGAAACAGAGGAAATATAACATGGCAGAAACTTGAACAATTTAAATAATGATTAGTATTACACAGAGCTGATAAGCTTAAAGAAATTGTAAATAAGCTTAACAAAAAGTATAGATATTGATATAGTGTATGTTTAATAATAATCAGTACGCTTTAATTGAAGAAAACATGAATGAGAACTCATAATAGCTAGTAGACGGATGATTATAATATAAAGTACTTGATAGGAAAATGGATTGTGAGAAAAGAGATTAGCACAAGGAAACAAATGCTGTGATAGTGCAGCGGTTGAATGCATTAGGAATTGATGAAGTAAAATGAACTGGAATGAAAGATAATGGTAAGTAGCTAATAGTCATTATCTTGTAATGTACCTAGGATTGGTTGAATCTGATTTTTCTTGAGGTTTTTTACGTCAGATTGTAATTTGCTTGGAGTAGATTATGTATATTCCTCTTTTAAACAAAATCAACTTGTTTGTAGTTTAAATGGAGTTGATTGAGTTTCTCTTGAGTTTGAGAAGAGAAAAACTTTAATTTACACAAGCAGGATGAGTGGGATGATTATGAATGATGATGGAAATGAAAGACAAGATTCAGATTTAGCTATAGCCTATACTAACCTTGAGTTGGAAGTTTGAGGAAAGGTTGGAGCTGCTCTCCTCCTTTCTGTGGGTATTTTTCTACTGCTGCGTTTTTGCGGCTGCTTATATGTTTTCTTTTGGGTGTATTGCTCTTTTGTTTTTTTGTGTTCTGTTGGTGTGTTTAAGAGGAAGACAGTGGAGTGGGAATGAGATTTTTCTTGTTGTCTTCTTCTGATTCCTTATTCGAGTGTCTGTTTGTAGTGTAAGAAAGGAAGAAGAATGTTTGCTGTAGGGTTGCCGCCGCCCTCTGGATGCTTTCGTCTGTTTTTGCGAGGAATGGGAAATGGAAGTGCAGGGAAGAAGATGAAGAAGAAGAAGAAGAAGAAGAAGAAGAAGTGACAAAGTGGTTCCCTGTTTCTGTCTATTGCCTCTAGCAAGAACAAGGAAGAAGAAGAAGAAGAAAGAAAGAAAGAAAGTCTAGAAGTGGAAGAGTAGAAGCTCGTTTTTTCTCTCCCCCTTTTGCAAGAGCAGATGTGTTCTTTTTTTATAAGAAAAGGGAGCTTGTTCCCCAAGTTTGCAACAGTACTGGTTTGGTTTTGGGTTGAACCGGTCTGGTTGTGTCAGAGCTGACCAGATTGACTTTGTTGACTTGATTGGACTTTTGTTGACTGTGACTTTAACAGAGTTGACTTTCGTTGACTTTTGGTATAGGCTCTGACTTCTCCAGTTTTAATGTTTTTTTATTTTGTATAATTGTAATAACATCTGTAATTGTGATTTATTTTAATAAGATACCAGTCCTTGCCCTTAATTCGACTTATCTGTTATTGTTTTGAAATCAAAGTCGCATCCTCACAAGACCACTAGTCTTAAATCTAAATCCACCGATAGCTGGCTGTTAATTTGTGTGACCCTAGCATGTCATCGCTTTCAAATTGTACCAATTAAGATTTGCTATTGCTAATCTCATTGATCCGAATTGTACAAAATGAGATTTGCTATTGCTAATCTCATTAAGTTATGAAAAACATGACGTGTTCCGACCACTATAAATACGTTCTATATGTAAGGTGATTTAAGATTCACTATTGTAAATCTTAAACAAAAATTAAATTTTGTTTAATTGAATACCTTAACCCGGACAAAAACTGGTGTCTACAAGTAATGCTTAATTCATCTATACATCGTGATTTATCAATTTAGAGCTTTAAACGAGTTTTTGGTTCAGGAATTTCTTGAATTCCTGATAAGCCAAATTAGGGTTTCGGAGTATCCGGAAGCTGGATTGAGCCCAAATTTCATATACGAGCTTCTTGCAGCGAGGTAATTAATCCTCTGGTTCTAATCCCTGAATTTCGACAATTATTTAGGTCGGGGTCCAAATCGCTGAATTTAGCTCCGGCCAGGGCCTGATGTGTTTTTATCAAGCATTTGATCCGCAGCCTAGAACTAACATTGACGGGGACACTGCAAGGGATATTAGGACAATCTCGGATTTTTATTCCATGATTGTTTGAGAAAGTGAAGTTGTAGTACGGGAGGCTAAAACCGGTGTTAAACGACCAGAACTGGTGAGGGATTAGCACGACATACCGAGTTTGTCGTATCACGATAATTATATTGATGCTTATAATTGACCTAGGTAAACTAGAATGGCATGATTAGGGGTGTATGGACTTTTCTGCTATATGATGAACCATGGATTGTTGTATGATATTATTGACTTGCCCTAATCGATATGGACCTTGTTTATGCTGATGATTGTGTATATGTTGCATATTGTGGGCTTGACTGTTAATATGTTTTATGATGGTTCGAGAAGGTAATTGGGTATGATTTTCCATGATTGTTGTGTTTGGATGCACATGTGGGAAATTATATATTCCCTGGTGATATTATGACGTTTAAGGAGGATGACTTGCACGAGGGTTTATCCCGAGGAAGTGCAATTATACGACTCCTGATTTACCTATGTTGAGCCAATTGTGGCCAGGTCAAGTACATGTGCAAGTAACGAATTATGATCAAGCAAGATGAGATATGAATCATGTATAGAGATACCAAATATGATTGATTTGGTCTCATGGTTAATTACATAGTAATTAGGGTTCCCCATGCTATTACTTCGTTATGATATGTTATGTCACACCCTTGATGTGGGTTGAACGTTGATTCATCATGTGATATGACCACACCCAGAGTGGTGTTAAGTCCGATATGACCACACCCAGAGTGGTGTCAGGTCCGATATGACTACACCAGCAGTGGTGGGTCCGATATGACCACATCCACGAGATGTTTGGTCCGTATGCCCGGGAGAGTAATTAGCATGGGAGTAGCCAGGCGCCTATGATTAAAACATGATAAGATGCATATGCATAAGTCAAGGTGAATGAGTCTTCTGCCTATTGAGATGTCGGATGGCTGAGGTCTCATCCTAGTGTTTTGGCTTGATTGTTAGATGTATGGTAGGGGTATGCTCTGTTATGAACTCACGATGCTATGATTATCTCACTCAGCTATGAGCTGACCCTCTTTTATTCTTCTTCTCTGCTTATGCTATGTGTAAGCAGATCATCAGCAGCAACAGTAGATAAGTGTTAGGTGGGAGAGGAGCTAGAGTTGAAGCCAAGATGAGGTATTGTCTTCAACTATTCTGTGCTTGGACGACTACTTGGGATTTTGGCCAGTGATCCACACCTTTTTGTAAAAATGTTTTGAGAACGTTTTTCATGTGCATACTAGCTTCTGATATAGTGTGAGATATCCACAGGTGTGGAAGGTTGATGATATGTGTATATTTCTGTAATTGTGTAAGTTGTGATGATTATGGCATGTATAAGTATGGTATGCAGTTGTGGAGTATGAAAACTGTGACTATGACTATGAAAGCCAATGTATATGGTTGTGGATATATATTTATATCTAGGAATGTAGGGATTCGGATGAAGTATTTTGCAGGATAAGTTGCAAGAACGGTTAGCCCATTACGCGAGTAATTCATGTCAAAATTTTATTTAGGTAAATTTTGGTAATTAATGTAACACCCGAGATTATTTCCGCTGCAAATGTATGAACAATATGATTAGGTAATACGTATAGGGTAGGGTGTTACATATCCTTGATAGAACCTAGGAATATTGATGAAGCCTTAGAGGATGAGTTTTGGAATGCTGCAATGCATGAAGAAATGCATCAGTTTGAACGAACCAGGGTCTAGGAGTTGGTTCCAAGACGTAAAAATAAAACCATAATAGGAACTAAATGGGTTTACCGAAACAAATCTGATGAAATTGGAATAATCATAAGAAATAAAGCAAGATTAGTAGCTCATGGTTATAACCAATAAGAAGGCATAGACTTTGATGAAACGTTTGCACCAGTGGCTAGATTAGAGGCAATTAGATTATTATGTGCTTATGCTACCTCAAAGGGTTTTAAGTTATACCAAATGGATGTAAAAAGTGCTTTTCTTAACAAGGATTTAAAAGAAGAAGTGTATGTTGAACAACCCCCTGGTTTTGAAGATCCTGAACACCCTGATTATGTATATAAACTTAATAAAGCCCTGTACGATATGAAACAAGCTCCTCGAGCTTGGTATGACAAGCTAAGTCAGTTCTTAATAAATGACGGGTTTCGTAGAGGTCAGGTAGACAAAACATTATTCATAAAAACCGAGGGTGAACATACTTTAATAGTTCAAGTGTATGTTGATGATATAATCTTTGGGTCTTCAAGTCAACAAATGTGCAAAGATTTCGAAACCTCTATGAAAGGTGCTTTTGAAATGAGTCTCATGGGTGAACTTAACTTCTTTCTCGGTCTGCAAATTAAGCAAACAAGCAAAGGAATTTCCATTAGTCAAACCAAATATCTAAATAACATGCTAAAATGATTTAGTCTTACTAATTTGAAAGCTGCCTCTACTCCTATGGGTTCTTCGACCAAACTCACTAAGGATGAATCTGGAAAACCTATAGATAGTCGCCTGTTTAGAGGTATGATAGGTTCCCTGCTATATCTGACTGCAAGCAGGCCAAATATTATGTACAGTGTGTGATTGTGCTCGTTTCCCAAGCTGCCTTAAAGAAAGCCACTTTTACTCCATTAAATGAATCTTTAGATATCTTGCTGGAACCTCTAGTTTAGGTTCTTCGACCAAACTCACTAAGGATGAATCTGGAAAACCTGTAGATAGTGGCCTGTTTAGAGGTATGATAGGTTCCCTGCTATATCTGACTGCAAGCAGGCCAAATATTATGTACAGTGTGTGATTGTGCTCGTTTCCCAAGCTGCCTTAAAGAAAGCCACTTTTACTCCATTAAATGAATCTTTAGATATCTTGCTGGAACCTCTAGTTTAGGACTGGTTTTTACTGTACTGCAAAAGCAGAGTACGTTGCTACTGGTTTTTGCTGTACTCAACTTCTCTGGATGAAATATCAGCTCATTGATTATGGTATCCAATTTGGTTCAATTCCAGTCATGTGTGGTAATAGAAGTGATGTCAATATGACTAAAAATCCAATTCAGCATTCTAGAACTAAGCACATTGAGGTTCGTTATCATTTATTCGGGATCTTGTTCAAGACGGGCACATTCATCTTTAATTCAACAGCACTGATTTTCAGTGGGCTGATATCTTTACGAAGCCTTCAGGAGCTGAAAAGTTTCTTTCTATTCGTCGAGAACTTGGTCTCTTTCCGCTGGAAGAGATCTCTGTGATCCCTTAATATCTGTACCGATTCTCCAGTTTCCTCATTCTTTCCCCTTCTCCTCTAATTAATCATTAATTGATTCTTTCCCTCCTTAGGTTTTTTCTCTTTCCTCTTCTGCTTCCCTACGGTGACTTTATATAGGTACTCTCTTCCATTCTTTTCTTATATCACTAGCTCCCACTAGGATTTCTCAGATCTCCATCACCATCCATGGCTCCCACCAATCCTCAACTGCATCGTGCAGTCACCTTCAACAACAAAGGTTTTCACAAACCCCCGTGTTATCACTGCTACCTTAGCCACTTTGGCCACCGTCCTCTCTATCCATCATTTCCCATTCATCCTTCCTCCTTCCAAAATATGGTATGGACATCTCTGGGCTCGTTCACAATCTCGGATGGGATTCTCTTTTTTGAGAATCAATGGTTTAGCCAATGTCTAGAGGCAGTGCGCACGTTCTATGCCAGCCTGAAACGAGGTCCTAGTTTAAGCCCTTCCTCGTTCACCACAGTGGTGTACAATCACGAGATTCTAGTCACGCCTTCTCTTCTGGCTGAAACTCTTTATCTTCCCTATCAAGGATCATCTGCCGACACAAATGACGACTTTGCAGAGCTTGGCTTCGACTTCGGGTCCGCGCTGGAATCTCTCATTCACGACATCGGCCGTTACTTCCCTAACATGATTTCAGCTGGACATTTAGCTGATCTTTTCAAAGTGATGCACTTTTTCATCACTCGGATCCTTCTTCCCCATAGTCTTTCCAGTGCTGAGTTATTTCACCCTTCGGATGTCTGGATCATGGCCAATGCACGAGATGGAGTTCGTCTCAACTTCTCCTCACTCATGTTTGCGCACATGATCAAGTACGGCGATGAGAACTACTCTGGTCCCCTTCCCTTCGGTCCTCAGATAACTTGTCTCCTCTACACCGTTGGCATTGATCTCACGGACAAGCTCATTATCTGTGATGTTCGAGACGATCTGCGCGCCCAGCATATTCTT